AACAGCAACGAAAAAACTGGACGATCAAGGTTTTTGCTGCACGATGCGAGGATCGACTATCGGGTAGAGCAGTAACGCAATATCAAAGAGGGTCGCTCGATCCGAAGCTACTTAAACAGTCGGTCGTGCGCGTTTACGCGTGGAGTTTAGTGGGCTGCCGTAATAGTTAGTACAGGCATAGAGAGGGGAAACACCGGGAGAGTCGAGAGTTCCGCGCCGGTTTCGCACGCCGGGGGTTGGGACTGGCTGGCACCAGATTTATCTCTCTACCCCATCGTTTCGGCCTAGGCTGTTATGGGGCGCGTCGGGAACACCGGAACGCCGGGCCAGAATGTCAGTGTGCATCGGAGTCCCGGTAGAGGAGTACCTCGAATGCCAGTCTGGTATTCAGAGTGCCTCCTTCCGATGTGCTGGTAAACGAGTTTTCTTACATTTACCCCTCTTCTTGTTTTCTTTATCGCTAGGGAGGGAGCTAGACCCTTGGTATACTTCATTCATCGCCCCACGTAAGACAGCAAGCGAAAAATGAACAAGCTTGTCCCGTCAGATCTTCTCGGGAAACAACTCTGACGTACACATTATTTATCCAATAAATTCTGAAATCTGTACTCGTTTACGCGTTTCGATATCACCTGTCGCTGACCTACGCACGAGGGAAGAGGGGTTTGTATGGGAGTTCGAGGGGTTGGACTGGCTGGCGCCAAGGGTTATCTCTAAACCCCATCGTCTCACCCTAGATTGTTATGGGGCTGTGCCATGAACGGGGGATGAAGTGCGAGGACACCGGAGCTAAATATAGAGAGAGACGCGAACTTACAAGCGAAAGTATCAGGAAAAGCAAGGAGAATATGGACGGTGAGAGGCGATCAAAGTTTGAAAACCGAAAGGGAAAGCTCTCAAGATGTTCGTTAAGCTAGCTACGATTACACGGAGTCTATTATCCAGCGATATGAATCAGGTGTTTATCTTTGAAACGCGAGGAGTACCGATGCATATTTAATTCGAAGCTATTTGCAGTGGGGCGAGTAACCACCATTACCGCGGGAATAATTCCTCATCAAACGAAAACCACGGAGCGCAAGTTACCGATCGGTTGAGCGGAAAAACACTGATTTCGATTGCAGACCGCAAGGAGCAGAAGAAACAGAACCTTCAGGACGAGGAGAAGCGGACGGCAGAAAGAGAAAGGGTTGGAACGCGACGGAGCATCGGGATAACGTCCGTTGCAGAGTCTCTCCCTCTTTCCTTTGGACATCCCCTCATCTGGTCCCGTGCAAAAGCATTGTGTCAGAACGTAACAAGTCGCGATAGCACGACGCGGCTTCCCATGGGGCACCATTATCCTGATTTAGCGACGCACCGCCGCGTCACCGCTACGACTCTATTTCGTACGCTCTCTATAGATACTCGCTCGCTCCTTTGTCCGGCTTAGCTTTATTTGCGCGAAAAAGGGAGAGGAAAGCGAATTGACGCGTTTCACTGAATCCTGCCTAACACCACTTCATTCTCGTTGTTCCAACGCGATTACGCGACACCAAGACGCGGTCGGCAATTGCGCTCCGACGACAAACGGTTTTCGATCGTATTTCTCCTTAACAAGAATCGTATCGACTTGGTTCGCAAGTTTTGAGGCACCTTGTTCCGTAACAAGTGGCAAACATTTCAAGAACTGATTTTCAGTCTATACTTATCGCGTGTACTAGTTTCTGAAATACTGAATCATCATATAAATTGATTGCTTTTTCTGTTGATCATTTGAAATGAATGATGTTATAAAACCTCTTCCCATTGTTTATTCGAATACATAGGAGCGTACGAATTAATAAGATTACTTAATACATCTTGCATACGACAAGAATTACGTAGTGGCACGTTAAGATTAATTTTGCTGTTCGAGAGCCGAGTTACGGAATGCCATTTTCAATCGTAATTAACGTGCAATCTACTTGTAGCGAGGATGTTTAACTCGGCAGAGTGCCTCAACAAGCCGCCTCGTGTATTTACAAATAACATCGACTGCTAGGCGTTTCACGGGTTGAATCGGCGCCGCTTGATGACTGATTGTGTTTCTCAATGGTGTCTAACCGTGGTCTCTGCGACCGAGGCACAAGGGCCAGGTGCTTTAATGAGCTCTTGACGATAAATCTAATACCATCTTGTTGACATTCGACAACACGTTTAATTAAAAACACGCTCTCTGAATCTTGGCAACCAAAGCGGTTTCAGTTACCCCCGCGGGGAGCCATTTCGCGACTGACGAAAATCGGCTAAAGAGCGAGTAAATACGCGACAGATTAGGGCTGAACCCCGTGGCACGGCTCCAAGAATCCCGCTTCGGGACACCGTACAAACGAACCAAAGTCTGTCTGGCTTAATTCGTTCGAGCCGCGTCCTTTTGCCGGGTTCAAAAGTTGCAACGGGTACACATCGGTATGCGATGAAATCGCAACGGGCGATCGATATGCGACGCGAGAGAGAACCGGTGTAATTCTGCTCGTGGACGGAGGCTGCGGGGCCGAAAACCAGTCGCGCGAATCTACCGGAAACCGAAACGAAAATACACACAACCGATCCGTTCCGCCTGCGCGCCGCTACGTTTATATTTGTCAAAGGATATAAAAGCTAAATATTAATCACCGGGGGTGTGTGTTCCTACGGCTTGTGTCGATAAATATCGCGACCGCGGGAAATTAATACGCAACGCAGTACCACTGTTTGAAACGAGTATTTACTGTAGCGGCAAAGAGAGGAACCGAGTTTTAACAGCCTGTGGCAAGATAGAGAAGGAGAGAGTATGTTCGCCGGATTACCGGCTGCGTTGGATGTAGATTAGGGGAGACTCTCCGTTAAATAGCCCTGCAACTATGGTTAGAATCCGGATAGCGAATGAAGACGCGATATTCACCTCCTTACTATTCCCACACGCGTCTGTACATTACCGTTCATAAGGTATAGGCTATTTTATATTCCTTGATGAAGTTCTATCCAAACTTCTGCATTGTACCAGAATCATAATTTTTTTTCCCAATAAATTATCAAAACATTTCTTTACATTTTATTACAGTAAACCCTGATATAAAATATTTATATTCTTTATATTCTTAAATTTGAAACAATATTTTATACTAATGATCTTTTTATATGACGTATCAGAGTGTTTGTCAGATTCTTTGAAAACGTTTTGAAACTTCTGAACCGAAGTGTATGTGGATACAGAAACCTGATGTCACAGTTGCCACGCAGCACCGACGGCGAAGGGGTTGCGACCAGGGGTTATTATTAGGGATTCCGGGTATTAAGCGTAGTTTGGGGTATCGATCTTCTTATTCGGGCACCCTGCGTCATACTTAAACAGAATCTTTCGGGAGCTGTGTAATCCTCTTAGCGAAGTATTCGTACGGTGCCGTGGATCCTGATAGCGCGTGCCATTGTTTCTTATCCCAACTGATTACGACGCTCGCGCATACGTCGGGGGTGGTGGTAGGAAGGGCCGTGGTTAGGTACGACGCGTTCTAACGAGATATTTTGGGAGCAGCGTAAACCGCTTAACGAAATTTTCCGCTATTAGCTACCGCATGGTTCCTCGCGTTTCCGCTTCATTTTTCCTTCGCCCCTCGCGATTAAGGAATCGTGCAATTGCGGTGGATTTAAGAAGAGGCTGGGAACGAAAATAATTAAATGGACTCGGCGAGAGTCGCGGAGGGAGCATATATTAGTAAGGGTGGAAAAGAATACTCCTGAAAACGTTCTGCAACGTTGTACAAGGAAGCAATTTCATTCGGAATGTTTCTCTTTTTCACGTAATGCATAGTCAGAAATTTTCCACCGAATGGGATAACGTTTGTACTGACAATTCAGCTTTTTCTTTTTCTTCTACCAGTCGTTACGATAACAACCATTTAATTTAACTCGACGCGCGAGTCAACACATGATGGAAAGTTCGATTCATCGGCCACTCGTTGCGGCGTTAATTCGTGAATTCCCGTCGTCCGAGGGGACTTGAATCGACTTTTTCACAAGTGCCGGAGGAACGCGGACGGCGCTTGATTAGCAATTAATACGCGGCTAGCCCCCGTCGATTCATCGATTAATGAAACCGATTTAATCAGCTACGGGGACACGACAGTCCTATTAATTAGCGGAATAATCGGATCACAGGGAATCACGTGTTAACCCCCCCGGCCCTCCTACCGTCGCGTCGACCTGTATATTACTTTCGATAATAGGCTCCATTAACCGTCTGTGGTACCGATCCGTTACTAATGTCAGCAAGTCCGGCGCCGGTATACTGTTGTAGAACAACGAGAGGAACGCGGGAGACGGAAATTAATTCACTGATAAGTCGCGTGTGACGCGATCGAATTAATTCGCGACGGCTCGTACAACACCACGGATTAATTACCGTCGCGTCGCAGGACCTATCTAACGCGATCTCGCTCCACGTCGAGATTTCCTTCGAGTGATTTACGGTAATCGATACGGTCCCCCCGAATTATCACCGCAAAGCCAAACAGACCGACGTAAATTCAAATATTACATTAAGGTCGTTCTGACTATGCAATCTCACGTAACGTTCGTTAATGCATTGTAAGTTTAATATGATAGTAACTATTTGTTTGCAAAATTTGTTGAATGTTACTATTTCAACTTATAACCGGAACAACCTCAAACACTATTTCGTTTAATTAAAAGCACCGATCAATAGATTTATCTTCATTAAAAATTTTACGATTTAAAAGCCGGTCAACGATTCGATCAATATTGTATTAACTTGAGAACATGATTTGATTACTAATTATCAGCCGGCGGAAATTAACTTAAAAAAACGCTGTCTGCGCTCTTGAATCATCCGAATAGGGCGGAATCCCTTCGGAGCTTTGATTAAAGTCGAGCCTTGTAAGAACGACGACTCCTTTGACGAGGAGGAGAGGCGAACTTTTCGTGAGAGGATCCTCGACGACTTCGCCGGGGGATTTTTTCATGCGAGAGGGACTACTCACCGAAGAACCAGCACTGTTTCTCGCCGAAACGCGGCCTGAGGAACGTGTACTGCGGCTGGGACGGAAGATGATCCAGAAGGGCGGCCAGCCCGGCCACGAGTAGAGGGCCACCCCACGCGTAGCAGGCGTACACTCGCAGTCGAAGGGTCTCTTGGCCTTTCTCCAAGCTCGCCGGTCTCAGGTCCCTAGAAAGAAAACGAGAGAACGGTCAGCCACGGGATCGCTTCTGCCTGTGCACTTAAACGGAACGCGGAACAATAAAACACTTGATGCGGTTTCGCGTGGAACGAGAAAACGAGAAAGAGTTCCATTAGAACCGGCGGAAGAGGAAGGGTTCCTCGCGAGATTGATCGTCCCATGTTAAGCGTTATCGGTTAATCAATTCTCCTGATACCGAGCCAAGAAACTTCTATCTTCATAAAACTTAATTAAGGCACTTACTAATTAAGGCTCGTCTTTAGTTCAAACATAATTAATCGTATGTCGACGGTTAATTAATCTTCTTGTCGATTTCAATTATTATTTATTACAAGACATGATTAATAGATTTTATGTATTTATAAAAAAACAAACGTTGTGAATGCTTATAAAAATTTCAATGCATATTTCAATATAATAATGATAAAATAAATATTTATGTGAAACTCATATTTCAAACTTATACTATAAATATTTTATTTTGTATAAACATTCGCTGTCTAATGATTAATGTTGTATATCTTCTATTTCCTTTTTTTTATAAAGAAAGCTATTATCGAGATAAATGCATCAAAGTGTCTCGACGAGGTTAATCTATATACGTTTCACCTGGTGCAAACAAGCCCCCAGTGCGAGGCAGACGATTGACAAAGCGAAAGACTGAAAAACAGCCTTCCAACGAAACAATTACCTCAGAGGCAATCAATGCCTGTCGCATTCCAATCGAACGGGGACAACCTATTCCGAAAGCTGAGTTTCGCGTCCAGTTTCCCTCGGAAAAGTTTCGCGAGCATTAGCATTCCCTAAACGAGCGGCCCGACGTTATTATGCACGATTCACGGGGACACGTGTGCCCGAACTTCGACGGATCGACTGGCTAAACTGCCTCCTAAGCACCGCGACAACTGGGGAACTGCGAGCACCGACGGTTACACAACTGACGGTCAGGAGCTTGCATAAACGGGGATTTCCCGCAGCCACCGTGGAGCCGAGTCGCTCGAAAAGTCAGCGAAATGAAACGCAATAAGGCGTAGAAAGGGAGCTACGCTGGCAACGGTCCAACCGGGAAAAATGAAAGTTGTCGGGATGATGAGACGCGCAATAAAAAGCATGTCGACCGACGACGGTCGTTTGCACTTCCACTCTGTATAGCGGGAGTCAGAAGTAAGCGCATGATATCTTGAAAAAACAGAGTTTACTCAATGAAACTTGAGAACGTATTTCATAAATTAGATATCGTAACAAGAGATACGAAAAACTTGTGGAAGTATTCCACAGATAAGAAAGGAAATGTATCTGAAGTTGATTTTTATAAGAACACATACTTTTGACTCTAACTGTACGTTTGCATGACTGGACGTGTGAACGAATTCAACACCGGAGAAACGATCTGTTTAATTAACCGTGCCGTGTGCGACGACAACGTATACAGTGTGTCTCACCTAAAGGAGGCCACCTAAATATCTCAACTGTTTCTTATGTTATGAGAAAGCTTTATAGTCAAAATTTTTGTTACAGAATATTTTTCATTCGGAATCATTTATATCATGCTATGAATGCTTCTTCATAAAAGACAAAATAGATATCTAAGTGGCCTTTTTTAGCTGAAACATTCTGTGTAAGATAAAAGAGCTGCAGACTCGATTAATCGACTCGTTAACTTCTCGGTTTATATCTGTTTCTTATGACTGTATGCATTAACTATTTCCTTACAAACTAACGACTGCTATATTTACCTGTATCCAATCATCAATTTTACAAATTATTACTTGAAAGAGCAGCAACGTAGATAGCGCATGGTTTTCAATTCTATGAGCTCAACCTTCCACAGATGGGAAACGGAAGTGCATTAAAATGTAAATCGATTGTATAATTATCAGGTAACAGGGTCAACACGTTTTATCGAGTTTATTAACTGCACATCATTGAAATCATTACAATTTCGCGATGACTGGCTAGGCACCGTGATTGTCTGGCCAGTTTGATGTCGCTATAACAACAATCCCCCTATGTATGAGGGGGTTGCCACGGCTTTAGCGCGGCGTTGTTACTCGTAAATCGCACCCTATCCGAACGTTACTGCGGATATGGCAAATGTCAGGCGTAACGACCGCGGGTTCACTGTCAAAAAGTGAAAATTCAAATAAAGCACCGGTAGAGCCAGTCTGACTAAAAACTCATTCGATCACTCCGCAGACTGTATCTCCGTTGGGCAGACAACTTAATTATAGTGGCTCGTTAAGAGAAAGTTAATATCCAATAGGATAGTCGTAACTTCGAATCGCTGTATAAGTAGATGATATCACGGTTCTTCGTTAATTACGCCGGCGGATGATTCGTCATATCGTTAACTTGATTGCTGATGCTATAGAACGATTAATAAATATATCCTGAATAAGATATTATAAAAATGCCATTGAATTTTCCGTTATCTCTAATATAAACATAATTTACATTTTGCATTTGAATTTTACTCATTACTTCTTCCTCTTAAAGTGGTTCTATTAAAATCCAAGATATTGCAGATTGTAATGAACATATCGATACGATGAAATATCCATGTTATCGAACAAATTAAAATAATGAAGCTCAGAAAGTTGTACTATCGATGTCGAGCGAATCATTATCATCTACTTAAATGTTCCACTTTCTCGCATTGGTATTTTAAGGATGTATTGGCTATACAGTCAATCCTAAAAGTTTATGTATCTTAGAAAAAATTTCCTATAATTAAAAAGAAATCAGACGTCGGAAAAACAATGCTAATAATAAATAGCTACGTGCTAAAAAGTATAGAAGGAAATATCCAATTAATTATTAACGCTGGCGAAAAGCTTTTTATACAGAAGTTGTAGGCACTAACATCAAAGGACATGACAAGAAAGATTCTATGCATTTTTTTTCTAACTTCACTAATTTTGGTTTGTTTATGTATTTTCTTAATACTTAAAAAGTGCAATCCAAATATTTAGTAAAGATAATAGAAATAGAAATTGATTTTTTGTATATTCATATACAGCTAAATGAATCTCATACGAAATATAATTATGAGATATTTGAAACTCTCAGTACACATATCCACTTGACTTCAGAATTTCAATAGAGTCACTTCAACTAAAATGGTTCCTCGCTTCTTCGTTAATCCACACTATATCCAGAATTAGATCTGACTGTCGAGCAGTTTGGCGAAGAGTAAGAGATATTAATTTCTAGCGGCAGGACTCATTTCCGGGAGGGCTAATTAGCCGTCACCGTGGTCGTCGAGCGCGATTAGTTGCTCTTCGTCCGGTCGGAAGGAAAAGTTTACCGGCGCCGCGTCGTGGAAGCAGGCAGGGCGGTTCTCGCCTCGATGTCGAAACGGCGGCGCCACGATAATTTTCAAGCCGTAACCCTTGTTGGGTCGCGTCCCGATGGAAATGGAGCGGCCGAGTGGTTGCCAGGAGGGAAAACGCATTAAATATTGCCGTCGAGAAAATTAGGGTGTTGTTACGTGCCGGTAGACATTACGTGATATTCTTTCTACCTACGACGAACACGGTTGCCTTTTTCTCGTTCCTCGAGGAAGTCGTATCGGTGTATCGTACGACGACGCGGGGTAGACAATTTGCGAACGGAGGACGACGACATCTTCCGTGACAAAGAGGATTATTGCGCTCCTCCAGCGCTGGAGAGCGTAACCCATTGTTGGAGAACGGAAGAGATAAAGGTTATTTTTGTAATAATGGATCCGGGGAGGGTCTCAGGCAGCCCTGTACGCCTCCCGATGAAATATACGTATTCTATTATCGCGCGGAACACACGGCGGTAGACTACGGCTTAATCCTGACAAAGGACTCGTCGAAATAACTTCTTTTAATTGTATCCTGTCACCACGGCTATTTATCGTTCGTATTTGCGAACGGAGGGCGAAACGGACGGTCGTAAAGGGACTGCGCGGCATTAAAACCTTTGTACCAATCGGCTCGTGGAATCGCCGGCACGGAGTTATTAAAAGTATCCGAGAGACATCGGCGTGCACCGAAGCAAGTCGTCTCGGTCATTGAAGTCTCGTTCCCCATGACCAGCCGACAGCTTTATTTCTCTCGGATAAAAATGTCGGAGACAGCAAAAACCGGAGCTGAATTACAAACGTCTCCGCGGGTTTTTCTTCCCTGTTCCCGCAGACAGTTCTTGTATCTCCGCCGGCGCACGCCGAGGACTTTATACAGGCCGACGTAAACCGTCGCCGGTTGTCTCCGCACCAGTCCTATATTTATCTGCCCGATATGGTAATTATACGGACGGCAATTAGCGGCGGTGGCAGTTAGAGGTAGAGAGCTCGGCAGACGGTATCGCGGCACGGCTCGCGCGGAATATGGAACGGGTAGTCGTTACGATGGACGGGCTTGATATTATTTATCTTGGTCCTGGTCCGAATACGGAAAAAGTCAAGGTTCCGGAAGGAACAGGCTAATGTACTACTCTTTGATACGAAATAGACTCTTCTGATGATTAATAGGAAAATTTATATGATTTTTTATCAATTTCCTACATATATGAATCTTTCATATATTTCATACTGATAATTGAGACAATGAAGAAACCTTCAGGTACCTAAAAATTAATTACAAATTCTCATAATGGACAATTAAAATTGTATATGCAGGGTGAGACATTTATTTTGATAAAGATTAGAATGTAGAACATAAGAAAGTTTAGTTTCTGCTGGATTTTATCGCCTTATTTATCAGCAAAAGTTTTCAGGTACAAAATTAAACCGTGTAAACTTAAGTTTGTAGGGACCGAGGAAATACCTTGCGAATCACTAAAGCAAATGTAATTGCTTAACTCAGAGAGAGAAAGAGAGAGAGAGAGAGAGTCCCACGAATGGACGAACTAATTTTATTCTCGGACGGTTTCCAACGACGTCGCGACAAACAGCCCCCGGAAGTGAAAGTTCCCGGGAAAGAAGAGATCAAGAATGATAATCTGCTACATTCGACGGGGT